CTGGCACCCACCACCGCCCCGACGGTGACTCCCGCAATGCCCCCTTTAGATAGTGAACTGCCCTTGGAGCTGCCTGTACTGCTGCTACTGCCGTTTGCCGATGTCGATGTCGAGTTATCACCTGCTGTGGAATTGGTGGTAGTGGTGATGATTGCTTTTTGGAACATGGTCGCCAACGTCGTGTCGTTGAACCCATTCTTTGGTTCGGTGACATTGGCTCCGCCCGTCGAGCTGTTGGTGGTTCATCAGCACTGCAGCAAAACTAATCCCTCGATCGGATTTACGTACCTTCCACCAATGACATCGGTAATTGCTGAGCTCAGGGCATACTCTGATTGATCATCGGCATTATAGTCAGTGAGCCAGGTATGCTGGTTTAGATCAAAGATGGCCAGTCCGTTCTCAAAGGTGCCCGTGTCGCAGTTTACTGGCTTCGGCTCATACTCTGAACTGTCAGTTGGGATAGTTCCTCCAACCACAAGCATGGTATGCTTCCCAAGTACATTGCATGTGTGCTTTTCGCGGATACTGCTCCCCTCGTTCACGCGGATCCATCTGAACGACGGCAGTGAAAGAACGTATACATCGCCGTCGGAATTCGCAGTGGTCGCGGCCATCCCGCCAAACATATAGCTATATTGGAGATGTCAGTATCCACAACGACTCGATTGAGCATAAGCACCAATGCTTACATGGAGAACGATGACCGATCTTGTGCTGCCACCGTCACGCTGCAGCCCGCCATCCGCCAGTTCGGAATATCCCCGGTGGTCTGCTGCGTGTACCATTTCTGGTTCGCGATATCATACAGGCTGACGTATTCCATAGGGTTCTGATCTCTTGTTAGCTGACCACCCCAGCAATAACCGAGTATTTGGACGTACATGGAATGTTGTATTCGTCTGGCTCGAACAAAGCAGCGACAGCTTATGCCCGACAGGATATTTATACCCACCAAAGGCTACTAAAAGCCCCTCATCCCCAACATCCTCCAGGATATTCACATATCCTGCTCCAATCGTGCCATAATTATTCATCTCCGACGTCGATAAATTGGACCACTGCAAGGTCGATTGATCCAGGACCAACAATCCACTGACAATCTCCACGTCCGCTCCCGCAGTACCATAGATATTCGGATTTCCGCCCGGGTCTTCCACACCCCCAAGATAGTACGCTTTATTCTGGGACTGCGAAACAACCGCTCCTCCCTCTACTAGCCTCACTAGCGGCACGCCCCCAAATCCATCTTTCGTCCAGTTATTGTTTTGGATGTCGTATTTCCACGTCTCAACGGGCGGGACCGTCGTCGGGCCGTCGCGACCGCTCTTATACCCGCCGTAGAAGTAGAGATTCTCGCCGTCGTTGAACGCGGAACCCTCATCGAGGAAAGTCGGATACTTGTCCGGATCGGATGCATTATACGGTTTGTCGATGTGAGTGAAGAGATCTGAATCGGTATTCGAGAAAGATTTGGAGACATCGACGGTCTGCAGGTCGCGGACTGGAACCCGAGATATTAACACAATGTTCGCTAGCAAATCATACACACATGAGGTAAAACATACTGGCATATGCCGAAATGGTATTATTATCCTCGAGATAGCGCACCTCCCCCCCGTCAATGAACAAAGTCTGGTTATTAATGATAGCTTAGACACAGAGTCAGCAAGAAACGCAGCCAAGAGAGCCTACCCAGCACAAGGTTAACTCACAGGAATGAAAAGTTCGGGTGCAATATTTTCTCCCGGCGACCAAAGAGGCATACAGCCCGACGATCTGCGCGAGACCCTTCATCATGAAGGTCAACTGGATGGTGTCTATGAACAACCTCCACCATCACAAGGGGAAGCGTTCATGAAATGAAGAAGATCAAACATGGGCGGACAGAGACAAACAGGGAGGTGAGTCTGCCCCCCTTATGCAAATTAGAGCGAAACTCGGCCCCCAAACTGTCACGCGAAAAGGTGAAGAAGGCCATGCGCCATAGCCTCGCTCTAAGACCGTGATCGGCGGAGTGAAGGATTCCTCGAGGCGGTATCTGCGGTGGAATACGTAAATCGTTATTTGCAGTGTTCAACATGATTATCTAGTTATAATAATTGGAAAGGGAGTAAATAACTCGATAGTAATAAATATAGCAAGAATTGATTTACTACGACCTCCAGATTGTTCCTAACTATGGCCGACATGGGTACTGATGAAGGGAACAAATGATATTCCCGACCCTCCCACTAACATTTAGCAAAGTTTGGCAACACGCTACCGGCATCCCTACTCAAAATTCAACGTCGGTCGTTGGTTTAAGCCCATTAATGTGCCCCGCGCTGGCGTCCCCGCTCCTGAAGTTCGTGCCCTCTTTGGTGCATCCTTTTCGTGCTCATTTATCAATCTAGTCAAGCATCCCCACACATACACCACCATGTCTGTGGAAGAGCATATCTTCATTCCTTTGGCGATGAAACACTCCATTACAAGAATCAAGGATCTTATTGAACAAGCGTCTAGTCATGATTCCAATTACGGAAACTCTTCAGCTGCCCTTTGATGAATCTCTATTCGTTGCACAGTGTTATTATACTAAGGACAGCCCGGTACCTTTTGAGTGGGGACTGGGAGATCATATTGGCTGCGTTGGGGAATGGGAATATGTTTTCGAGACGGTTCTCGGAAGGACGGATGACTGGAATTGAGTGGACTTCAGCCTGACAACGACAACAACGGCAGCGGGCCGATGGAAGCTTTCAGCTTTTGCAGTCGTTGTTCCTTTTTGGACTGATGATAGACCTTCTTGATGAAGGCCTACTTCTTCTTGGCCAACGTTGGGCCGTGGGAAGCCTGGTCCTGATAATCGACAAACAGGAAGCCGGTGGGCTGTCTTCGGGGTTCATCATGGCGACTATCAGATCGATGATTAGGGAATTCTGGCGGGCCAAGCACTGAGCACGCGGTTCCTGCGTTTGTATCCATTGCTTAAGCTGAACTAGGTATCGCAGCTTGGAGATTCTAGCAATGTGCGTCATGACTTCTGGCTAAGCTGATAAGTCACTTAGCCCTGGATAGTGCACACACTGGTCGCGCCCACGTGATGACAGCCTTGGGGATGAAATGCCTTTGACACGACGCAGGTACCTGTGGAGGTTCATTGTCACCAAAGGGACCAAATGTATATTATTCATTACCCGTAACTTGGTCTTGCAGCGGTCTAGCTTCACCCACGTGGGTTGTCGTCACTATCGTTAGCTAAGTAGGGTTGAGGCAATCCCGCACGTGGGAGATTGTCGTAACTGAGTGGAAGCCGACCGTCGGCAAAAGGCAGGCTGAGTGGTGTCTTCGCAGACCACATTCAATTGCACGACACCAGAAAACCACCATGGGACTACGAGAAAGTAATGAAACACAGAGTATTTATACCTGATTGGACTCCCCATCACCAGGAGTCACGATGTCCAGCGTCTATGAAGGGTTCCTTGACATGATCTCCACGTTGTTCTCCTTCCTGCTCTCCGCAGGGATTCCCGCCCTCGCGGCCCGTGACACCTTCTACCCTCCCCTCAACCACACCACCTACATCACCAACGCCTCCGTCGGCACTTATGGTGGCATCTACAATGCCCCAGCAGTTCAAGCCAGTACTCCAACCGCTCAGGATGTCTACAATTACTGTTCCATGCCCCATCCCCGTGTGGAGACATACTCGCTTCCCCCTCCCGTGGCCAACCAGTCCGTCGCTGCCCGCCTAGTTTACCTCGAATACGTGCAGCGACATCAACGCCGCACCCCCTACAACATTCTTCCGGGCGGCGAGGTATGAGCCCAACTCTTTGTATCTGATAGGTCTAGCTAACGTTTGTTCTAGAACCAAGAATATCACTGCAATAACCTCCAGGCTCATCTCTACGTCTCCGCGGCCTCCCAGGGTCCCGCTCCGATCCCTGTGTATGGCCAAACGTATTCCGATCCCTCCAACCCATTCTTGGCAAGCTACGTCAATGGATCGTGTCAGTATCCTCAATTGACGATTGGGGGCTATCTCGATGGCTATCAGCACGGTCGCGACCTCGGCGCTGTGTATCGGGATCAACTGCAGCTCATCCCATCATCACCAGACGAGGACAATGGCAAGAAGATCTGGCTCCGATCGAGTACCTCGGCCCTCACCCAAGAATCCGCCGGTGGGGTCTTGCGAGGGGTCTGGCCCAAATACAACGCACCCCTGCCGCTACACCAGCAGGCTTCCGGGGTCGACACGGTCGACCAAGGATACTCCTGTTCCGCTCGCAGCGAGGTGCTCTCCGCCATTGAATCCACAGCAGAGTGGAAAGAGCATCTGACAGTGACCCAGTCGCTCCGCAATCATTTGGCGACCATGTTTGACGCCGATACTTCCAGCTGGATGTCGAGCTTTGACCATTTCTCGGATAATTTCCAGGCCCGCCTCTGCAATGGCTATGAGTTACCCTGCAGCCTGCAAAATGAGACTCAATGTACTACTGCCGGCCAGGCAGAGGAAGTGTTCCGTGCGGGCGACTGGGAATGGAACTACTGGTGGCGACACAACGCGAACGCTACTCGGTACATCCAACTGGTCGAAGGTCTGTTCATCGGAGAAATTGTTCGCCATCTAGAAGCGGTGCAGCAAGGGACATCCGAATTAGTGTATAGCCACAGCTTCGTCCATGATGGAGATATCGGACCCATTCTTGGCGCGCTGGGCATCAAAGCATTGCGCTGGCCGGGTATGGGATCGAACATTGCGTTTGAAATCTGGTACGTTATGACCCATGCCAGAACTACGCCTAGCAAAATGCAGTATGGTACTCACACTGCTATAGGGAAACATCAGACGAAGAATTATACGCTCGCGTATTGTATAGCGGACACGCGATCGAGACGATCTACGGCACATTGGATTGGATACCTCTATCGTCCTTGATCAGCATTCTTCAGCCGTATATTCCAGACAACATCATCTCGCTGTGTCAGTCTAGCTAAAGTCTATGGAATAAGTCTACATGTGATACCTGCGCTGGATGGATCCTTCAGACAAGACAGCAGAAATAATCAGTCCTGGCAGCAATAGCAATAGACACCATCTGAGCAACACTGGGGGAATTCTCCATGACAGCAGACAGCTCGGGAGCAAGGCGACGAGCAGACATAGCAGGCTAAATGATTCTCAGTACATCTGTATCTGTGTGACCGGGTAGGCGTGTAGAACATACAGTCAGCGGTGTCACCAAGCACCTTTTGCGCCGAGGCGATAGAATCGAGCATCAGTTCTTGCTTAGCGCGAGTCGTCCCAGCTATTGACTTCAGTTATTTAAGTTCCCATCCCCTTGAAGGCAACTAATTTGAAGTGGTACTAGTTGAACTTGAAAATCTATACCTATCGTTCGGTCATGATGTGCATCCACAGCCAGTAGGTTTAGCCAGAGCGTCCAAATATATATTGTTGCCCTCATCATTGAAGTCGCTCTTGTAAGTAATACGATTTGCCAGTTGTTGTTGTTGTTGTTTGAAACCATAATAAATCAATTCTGCGAGTCTCATTTCCTTTACTATATATCCTGTCGTTGCAGTCAGCTGCAGCCATCACTCGACACTGCAGATATCTTGGCTGCATATCTCCCATCACCTGGTACGAAGGGTATGTACTGCCTCAGGCATCCACATGTCACCTGCTGCCGAGTCCTGGAAAAAATTCCCCGAAAACCTTCCATTTTCCATCGGGAATCTCTCTTATCAAGTCCCGTCGCTTCAGTCTCCACCATCGGCAAGTCGGGTCCAACTGCCTCCGATGCAGCCTGCATAACTGACATGCCGTTAGTTCACCCGCCTGTCACAACGCATAACTCTATTTAGCCATTAGGGTCCGGACAGATAATGTACGGTGCCTACGTCACGACTACACCCACGGACCAGACAAGCTGAAAGGCTACCAACAGGCGCACGTACCGCGTACTTTATGATGCTGCAAAGCTGTTGGAAGCTTTGCGGGCCATCCGATCTCGATTCGTCTTCATGATTGGCCCCGATAACAGTTATCGATGCCCCAACCGGACAGAATCCTGGTCAGGGTCACAACATTATTACTATTGCTTAGAAATGCGCCTCCGCTCATCCCGAGCTTGGGTCCCCTTATCACATCATTTCCCCGTCGCTGTCGATGCCCAAACAACAGATATGGGTCTGCGGGGGGAATGCGTTCTCTCTTTTAGACACAATCTGTAGACTACTCGAATACACAATATGACGGCTCAGGAACGCCCAGAAGGAGTCCCGGAGGAGACGACGCCTCTTTTGGGAGAATCCACCAACAATGGGGAAGATTTGGCGCGAATTCAAGTGTCTCGATGGAGGGGATCGGCGATAGTGGCCGCCATGGGATTGTTGCTGTTCATTATGAGTATGGGAGCTCCTTTGTGATCCAGATGCATCAAGCTGACATTTATCAGCAACCAATATGTCAATGATGACTACTGCGCAATCTGAGATTGCGGCTGATCTGGATGCTTTTTCTGAAACAACATGGTTCAACTCGGCTTTCTTGGTACACAGTCTTCTATCAAGCCATGTGCAGTGGATCCACATGCTAATGCCATTGTCACTAGATTGCCATGTCCAGCCTCACACCTCTCTCCGGTCGACTCTCCCAAATCTTCACACCTCGTGTATATATCCTTTTCTCCTGTACATTATTGTCGATTGGTCTCTTCGTGACAGCATTGGCTCCCACACTGGCTGTCTTTCTTTTGGGACGAGCTCTTACGGGATGTGGTGCTGGCGGGCAAATGGTCATTGCCTTTGTCTTGACTCTCGATTTAACGAGCAAAAAGCGCCGAGGTCTCTTCATCGGTCTAATCAGCGCCGGGATGACTACCGGTGTCTCTTCTGGGGCCGTGCTAGCCGGTCTTCTGACGCCGGCTTACGGATGGGTAAGTTATTCTAGTAACCATGTATAGCGCTCTGTGAAATAACACCATGGATATAGCGGATTATCTTCTGGGTTCAGGCACCTCTAGCTCTGATACTGGGCCCGGTACAATATTTGGCGATCCCGATACGCCCAGAGGATGAACACCTAAGTGGACGCGCTCTATTACGGAGGTTGGCGAAGGTTGACTATGCTGGGGCATTGACGTTGGTAAGAGCTCGTCCATGTTTGGCTAGCAAATCCTAATCGTTATAGACCACCTCCGTCTTCCTACTACTTTCAAGCCTCGCTGCGGCAGTGGTCAAACTCACGCCTATCCTTCTATCGCTCGTTTTCCTGGGGATCTTCGTCTTGATCGAATCGAGATTCGCTACCGACCCCATAATCCCGATGGAAGTACTCAAGAAGAGGAGCGTCTTGCTAAGCTGCTTGGCGGGTGCCATTTGTATGATGGCACGATGGGCAGTCCTCTTCTACTCGCCAGTCTATGCACTTGTCGTTCGCGATTGGTCTCCTGCCACCGCAGGCTTGATTCTGGTACCAACCAACGCCGGGTTCGGCTTAGGAGGACTCCTAGTCGGATGGATACACATTCGGAAAACGGGCAGCTACTATATGTAAGTGTTTTTATCCATTCCCTGGAGCAGAGTACAGCCCATCTAATTCCACTTCAGCTCCGGTCTCATCGCTTTCTTCCTGTTCGCCTTGACAAACCTCGTATTATCCATTCTCTCCACACCGCACTCTTCCACGGTCGCCTATCTTTTCGCCAACTTCTTCAATGGACTCTCTGTCGGGGCAGTCATGAATTACACCCTATCTCACTTGCTGCACCTCACCGACCCAGACATGCATTATGTTATCAGTGCCTTGTTGGGAATGAGTAGGGGTTTCGCCGGCAGCTTCGGATCCTCAATTGGCGGAGGCTACTTCCAGCGTGAGCTGAAGCGAGGGCTTGAAACGGGGTTCATGAAACATGGACTTGCCAATAGAGGTGAGCTGGTTCGCAAACTGCTCGGAAGTCCGGCACTGGCGAAACGCCTGACGGGCGTGGAGAGGGCGGTCGCTGTTCATAGCTATGAACAGGCCGTGAAAACGTTGCTACTGGGTGCTTGTGTGTTGGCCATTGCTGCTGCAGCCGCCCAGGCTGGGACTGGGTGGACGCCGTATAAGGGGAAGAAACCGCAGGATCTTGGGGATTTGGAGGCGACGGCAGAAGAGCAGTGAATGCGGTACACCTACTGGTATGGTAGTCTTATTCCACATCTTCCAAATAGTCAGACATATTTTTCTGCCGGTCATTCGTTTTCTTCAATATAATACCGACTTATAGGCCCCTCTATATTCAAGTAGCTATATCTATAATAACCGAAACAAGAGCAATGCTTCAACAGTCGGCACAAGCCGTGTTGGTGCCTTGGTGCCTTACCGCCTTTCTGCCTGGCGGAGTCTTGGCACACCCGGGTCGCCTTGATTCTCCGGCTGTCGGTCTACGTTCCTTCACTCTTCACAAAGCCACACCTCAGCAGCTCCTGGGCGACTTTCAATTCACAGCACCGTTACCTTACGCCGTACTCAGCTACCCCTACCGATCACTCACCATGCCTCGCGCCGTCAGAGGTACTTTAACCGCAGCAACTCCCACTCTACTCAATCGCTAACCAAGGCGTAAACAGGAGTCCTCATCGAGTGCGATCCGTCTGTGAAAGCCATCATCCTCAAGTACGACGAAGAACGACACGACTACATCGTCGAAGACCTGGATGATGATCGCCATTTGGTTATCAAGGAGAGCCAGTTGCAGAATCTGAAGGCGAGGTTAACAAAGGTAGGGATGCCGGGATGAGCAGTTTAAGGCCTGAGGCTGATGAGGAAACAGGAGCTTGACGATAAGGTTATGCAGCCTGACGAGTCGGAATCGGAGTAATTGCCAAAAATATTCGATGCGATCGCCAGCACCAATTTCCCAATCCTTATCGCGCGGTTTTACAGACTGGTGGGAAACGCGCTATGAGGGTTCGTGGTCGCGACTTTACAAAGGTCTAGTGCTCGAGTTTGGCCCCTGAAATGCATTGTTTTGTGTTTCGACAGTCCTGATGGCGAGTTCGGCTGCGCATAGTCCAAGGTTTGGGCTGGCGCGCCTTCCTTGCTAAGCCTTCGCAGCGCCTACTTCTCTAAAGTTCGCAACAGTCAAGCAGCACCTGCGCAGCTCTTCTAAACCCTTCTAAGTCGATGGAAGCCTTCACCTAACCACACTCGCGATAACCTACATTCTTATCAACGATCCTGCTTGCACAGTCGTTACCTCTCACACTTGATTACAGAGGCCTCCCTAATATAACAACATGGATAAGACCAGAATTGGCTACGTTGATTGCAGGGGCCAACCTGGGAAAGTCTTTCAGGAACCAGTCGGTACCCCCAAGCGCATCAAGCCTGCATTCGATATACGGTTTTTCAAGGACGTGTACTATCTGGATGGAGAACTTGCCGGTGCCACCCCAACCTCAATCGAGCTAAATATCATTGATCAGTGGACTTTGGTGGTTTGTGGCACAATGGAGCGCGAATACCCTAATGACTCTCGAGTTCCCCCATCGGAACTAGCAGCGCTTGAAAAGGACATGGACGCGGTGCTACAGCAGATATTAGACGCAATAAAAAAGGACGGCGAAAATCCACAAGAGGAGACGGCCGCAATTGGGGATGACATCCCTTCCAGTGAAGATGCTCAGGCGTCCTCAGACGGACAAAGCGGTACAGATCTCGAAGTAATGTCGAAACCAGCTTTCCCGCGAGAGAAAGGTCGCCAGGGCGAGGGGAGTCGACAGAAACCGCGTGTCTACATAATTCCGCAACTTCGAGGAAAAGACAAAGGCAAGAGCCCGGCCCAAGGGATTTTGCGGAAGCCAGGAAGTAGTAACAACGAGCCTGAGAGTGACGATGATCTGCAGAATCGAACAGACTTCGATGAGCGGAGAAACACATACGGTTACTCTGGTGAACACCCGGATCCTTCAAAAACCTGGGTGTGGCTGTTGGCTGAGCGAAAGGTTGGCCGGTTCTTTCGCTCCTTCCGCTTCAAGAGACCGATCAATTGGGATGCCGCCCAAGGCCTCTTTATGGGTGGTATTCTCCTGCTGAGGCTTCCGGCGATTGTGGTGCCGAAGAGACGCGTTCGTTTCGAGCGGGTTAGTGATTAGGATAGTACTATCATGCTATTGTTCATGCTGATATGTAGATAGTGATCAAATAGCAAATAATACTGATATGGATATTCAACGTGTCGGACTCATAGTGGCAGAATGTATCATGAACTGGTAGAAGATGCCCGTAAATACCGACCTAGAAGATCCAATGCATATTCTATCCCATAGATGCAAATCTAGTCGAAGCTAGTATACAAAACACCCAACACCCAACCAGCCCAAACAACAAATATGATACTAGAAGCGAAGATGCACCATTCCAGAAAACACACAAAAAAAAGGAAAAGAAACAGAACACAAACCTCACTACTACCGCCTCTTATCAAACCCACACTTAAATATCCACCACCCCCTTCTTCTTCCTCTGAAACATGGGATAATTCAACGCATCCCATCTCCCATGGAATCCCACCCCGGGATGACCCCAACTACTCATCGCAATCACCGCAATACTAATCATCGCCCCCTCCAACACCATAAACGTGGTCTGATCATTCGCCAAATGGCTACTAAACCCCCCACACAGCTCCGCAACTCGGAAACAGCTCCGGATGTAAATACACACGACGGCTAACCCTTGGCAGAATAGGAACGCTTTCCAGCGTTTACTTGCCCGGAGGCTGGCGAAGTCTGGATTTAGGGTGACCAGGTCTCGAGATGGTGAGACGAGGTCCTGGCTTTCGGATTCTTGCTTGCTGTGGTTTGCCATGCGGAACATGTTCGATGTTGATGATGGAGGGGAGGGGTTGCGTGCGCTGAGACGGTAGACCCGGAAGGCATAGTCGAGACAGATCACGATGTAGAGGGTTAGGGAGGCTACTTGTGAGCTGAGACCGGCTATCATGATGTTGATTCCGTCTTGGACTTCGGAGGCGGAATCCGAGGTCGTGATGGCACCGCCGGCGGCTTGGAGGAGGAGCGAGATGATGTCGAAGCTGATGAAGATTAGGGAGTAGTTGCGCTGTTTTATTCGGGAGACTTGAGGCGTGTAGGCCCCCACGATTCGGGCGAGGGAGACGTAGATGGCGCCGCTGAGGAAGGCGGGGGCGATGGTGAGGCAGACGAGGTACCTGGTTGGGAGGTTAGTCGGTTGTGGGATTGAGGGGAAGAAGGAAGGTGGTGGTGGGGAGGTGAGTACATGATAAACCACCGGTCAATAAATGGGTTGTGTCGCATGTAGATGCGTGCTATGTAGCCCAGTACCTCCAGGATGAGGCCGCAGATGGCGCCGAAGAGGTAGCCCCAGGTGCGGTGTCGGATGCCGAGGTAGAGTTGGACGGGGATGAAGAAGGCGAATAGAGCGATGTAGAAGGCATTGCCACCTAGGTTGGGGAGATAGGTGATGTGGGCGTAGGACAAAGGACATGTTTCCAGAGTACATTGTTGGCTGCTGGTGATCCAGGGCGCGGCGGCCGTGACGGTGGTCATGATGGTAACTTCTTCGTAGTCCGAATGTAAGGACTTTGAGTTTGAAGGTAAGTGAGTGCCAGAATCAAGGTGTTCTGGCACTATTGTATTGCTGCGACAATATATGCTCCTGGACGTATGTGGGTGGTGTTCGTTTAATGGGCCATATAGTTCGCAGTAGTATATAGTAGCAATAGTATGCTACCAATAGAGGAGTAAGTTCAATGGGAAAAAGCACGACGGAGGAGAGAAGCAGCTTATTAAATGAAATTGCAGCCATTTTGGCTGCCTGCCGTCAATCGGACAGCGCAGATCGACGCGCCTCATTTGTAGCTCGTTTGGTGTAAATGTAGGGACTTGGTAGGGCCTCGATCGGAAGCTCACAAAGAGCATATTTACGCAGCAGCGAACCGGCTCACTGCAAGTGGAGATGCCGGCGTCAAACCCGAGAGATGGTGGATGCTGCTGTTTTTACGCACCGACCAATCAAAATTCAACGCCATCTGGCACCGCTGACAAAGCACCTCACCTGCTGGCACCTGCAACGCGTGACTGCCTGATTCGGATGCCATACTTACTACTCCCTCCCTGGTTGATTCTGACTCCGCCACGCTCTTGACTCCCCGTACTTAGGGACAATGAGCGCCGCTTTTCTGCTTCTGCCTGATGTATCACATCATCAGTATGCTGTCAGATTCTGCTGCATGTTCTTCTCGTTTCATGATGATCCGGATGCCGTTCCGTGGACCGGCATATACGCGGTTGGCACTGTGGTCGCGCTGTTTGCTACCGGCTCTCCCGCTCACTACGCAACCTAGGCAGAAGTTTAGGTGCACACTGATGGTAGACTATGGCTCTTCGCCATTGAATAAGCCCTTCTGACAAATGGCCTACCAATCTCAATCGGACAGCCTACGACTTCCGACTTCGGCAAGGTACATGCCACAAATTGGCCAAAATGACAGGCCTGCTGCAGCTACAGTATCACTCAACTAAGACAAGGAGCCCATGGTGCTGCAAATAACTTCTCAATAAAATGTGAAATCCATCGTCAAGAGAATCCGCAGGATTGAAATTATCGCCCCAGAGCAATAAGCTGCTCTGCCCTGCGTTTCGTGCAACTCGGAGAAAGTCAAAATGAAATAACGCATGCAGCACAATATTGCTAAACTCTACATTCACGAGAATGCCTCTGTAGCTGAAGACGAGTTCTGTAAACTCATTCATCTCTACCGGTTCCGACTGTACTGGGTATAAAGGTGGCAAATAACTTATCTCAGATTGTTACAGTGATATTCATTTGCCTAGGATGAGTGAAGTTTCGTCTACTGATAATCCGAGATTCTTTAGATGTGATTGCATCTAGTGGAATCTACCTATCTACAGAACTCCGAAAAACCAGTCAAAATCCACCGTCAAACGCCAAATACACAATATGACTAACCTGGAAACATGTGCTCGCAACTCAACAGTTAGTCGAATGGAAAAAGGTAGACTATATACAGGAACCTGAGCATGTCACTCACTCCGTCTCGATTCCATCCCCAAGACGGTTTGCAATTTCCAGCAATGACTCCTTAACCTTGGCTTGCCACTCGAGAAGCTGCTTCTGCCGTGCCATGCGCGTGTTATAAACGAACTTAATCTGCAGGGAGTCCCCGATTACGATGGCCTGTGTCTCAACCAGCGCGGTACGCAGAAGACCGGACCCAGATCCAGTCGCCTTTGGCTTGTTCACATCCACATAGCGAAGAACAGAATCGTCGCGCTCCAGCTGTTGATACTGACCAAGATAGTTCAGAGACAACTCAAACGGATTGTGGTGCTTAAAAGCGACATGGCCATCGTCGGTCAGCCAGCGGGTTGCCCAGTAAGGAACCCCGTTGCCCGGCACACTGGCGCGCACATCTCGCACAGCCTGCAAGTCGTCGACAATATCACCAGATGGTTTGATCACTACCGGAGTGGAGGAGGTAAACCATCCGATAGTGTTGGAGACATCAAGATCTCCGCCAAACTCATCCCGACCATGACTGTAGATAAAGACCGCAGGTACCGGACGGTCACTGAACGTCGCGCTGAATGCGTGGAAGATCGCTGACAGGAAGATGTCGAGCGGTTTAGTCTGATACTGATGGTTGCATTTCCCCATCAAGCGCGCGGTTGTCTTGGTGTCCAGGGAGAACTCCTGGATAGTTTCGGTCACGAAAAGGTTCATAGATTCTTCCATCTGCCAATAGTCATATAAGGGAGCAGGAACCGAGAAGGGCAGCACGTATTCGGGTGTCCATTTCTCATCGGCATGTTCCTTGAGTTTACGGCACCACAAAGCAAATGAGTCGGAGCGGTGGGAAGTGATTGCCCCGGTGGATAAGCCTTGCTGCATATCTTGGAGGAGAATGCGCCATGAAACGGTGTCGATGATCATGTGGTGTACAGTAAGTCCAACATATCGCGCTCCGTTCGGAAGCTTGAAGACTATGGCACGCATCAATGGACCACGCTGCAAATCGAAGCCAGACTGGTTGGGCGCAGTGTATGGTTCGATAGCTTGCAAGTCAGGCACTTCCATCTCCTGGTACATATAACTATTGGACCGGTCAAGAGGAATATATTGCATCCAGCGACCCGATTCATCGCGCTGAAACCGAGCACGAAGCATGGGATGACGCTCTACCGTTGCATCCACTACCGGCTCTAAGTCGGAATCAGAATGGACCGATAACAGGAATGTAGTATTGTAACGATTGAGATCGCAGTGCTGTTTCAGGTCGAACTCCCACGTCTGCTGAGGAGAGAGATTAAATGGAACACCGATATCGTCTTCCATCGGCTCCTCGTCTTCATCCAGAGGTCGCACTCTCTGTGCTAATTCGGCAATAGTAGGACACTGAATGAGATCTTTAACTGCGAGCGATAGCTTGGCATCACGACACTGAGCGATAACCTGCATGGCTGAGATGGAATCACCGCCAAGGCTCTGGAAGGACCGCTGCATACTGATGCTTTGTTCAGGTCGGTTCAGCACGGAGGCCCAAATACGCCTCAGCTCAAATTCGGCAGGTGTACTTGGGCCGCGGCCGCTGGCTTTGGATCCTACGTTGGCAATCTGCTCATATGTGGCATCGTCCAGGGTCTCAACCCAGCGCCGGACCTTCTTCCGGTCCAGCTTTCCGGAAGGCAACAAGGGGATCGCGTTCACTGGTACCCACAGGGCCGGAACCATGTAAACCGGAAGGGCTGCAGATATGGTGTTAGCGATTCTGGTCACAACCGCCATAACTTCAGGTCGCCTGTTCTCTGGTACAAGAGACACTCGTCCGTCCTCCACAGGAAGATCAAAACCCTTGAAAGAAACAACAGCCAAGAGCTGCTTCTTGAATGGGCCCTTGGATGGGAGCAAAGTCAGTGCATGGTGGATATTCTCATCGCGCTCGACATTGTACTCGATCTCGCCCAATTCAACACGCTGGCCGCGAATTTTGACCTGCCCATCGGCTCTCCCGATGAAATGAATTGTGCCATCTGCATTGTATCGCACGAGATCACCAGTGCGATAATACCTCTCGCGCTCCCAGGATCCTGGAACAAAACTCTTCTGTTCGACAAAGGCAGCAGCTGTTTTCTCAGGATCTCCCAGGTAACCTCTCGCCAAAATGGGTCCTGAGATCAAGAGCTCTCCAACAGCACCAATGGGGAGTAACTTAGAAGGCTGCTTCGCATCAACAACCCAGAGGACGCCACCAACTGCATGTCCAATGTTGGCTGGATCGGTAGTAGGTTGCAGCCCTGGGTTAGCTGCTGCTGCCACAGAGCACTCACTAGGTCCATATCCATTGTACAACTGTACCCTGTCAGCCCAGTTAAGAATATCACCCTTTGAAAGAGCTTCTCCGCCAAGAATCAGCGTTTTCAGTGAGGGCACATCAGATGGCTGTAGGAGTTTAAGAACAGATGGAGTAAGGAAAGTCCAGTTGATATTGAGCACATTGATGCAGTGCTTGATATCCTTGCTCAAATTTTCGTCTGGCACGCATATGCATGCACCGAACATGAGTGATGTCATGATCTCTAGGAGACTAACATCGAAGCTGTAGGAGGCAAACTGCAGCACTCGAGATGAGGGACCCAGGCAGGCAAGCTTTCCTTGAGCCAGGGCTCCAGAGCAGAAGGCAGCATGTTGCACAACACATCCTTTGGGCTTGCCTGTGCTGCCAGAAGTGAAGATGACGTAGGCGTCATCATGAGGGCGGGCTCTCACGACACCTTGGTGGAGATCATCTCCTTCGTGCTTTAGCTTGTCGAGGAGAGCTTGATCAACACTGACAATCGTTGGAACCAGGTTGTCCCAATTCGAAGCGTATTTTGGAGATGCCAGCACAACATTGGCTGCAGTTTGAATAGAAGCCTCTCGGAGGCGCTCCACCGGGGTTTTAGGGTCGAGCGGAACGAATGCAGCTCCAGTACCCAGGACAGCAAGCATGGCAACGATAGCCCATGCTGACTTTTCGAATGTCAGCGGCACGTAATCTCCGGCGCCAATACCAAGCGTCGTTAAGTATTGAGACAGAGACAACCACATTCGTCCAAACCTCTCATAAGTTATTTTTTCAGCCAGAGTGTCAATCGCAATAGCATGAGGAGTGCGCATAGTCTGTTGAAGCACGAGGTATGGAACTGTAGAAGATGCCGTTTCTGGCACATTCTGGTTCCAAGATGCAATTTGCGACAGATCATACCGGCCGATAACACTAAGCTGATCAACTCGGGCCTCAGGGTTCTCAATCACGGACTTGAGAATGGCAGAAAATGTTCCCGAGATGGACTGGGCTTGGGATTCCGAGATACTGTCGGTCCAGTACCCGAGTTTGATGTCCAGGTTGCCTGGCGAATCGATAACGTGAACCGTAATATTGTACTACAGCAGGTTAATTATTGCAGAGTGTTACCGAGTGAAATCATACCTCTGTTGGCTCTCGTACGACGAGTCCCTTGAAGTCAATATTAGTTACAGCTTCGTCACTGTCAACATCAGTCATAGTCTGGAAGGAAATGCCAGTGTTAAACAGCGGCATTCCTGCGAGTCCAAGGGCATGTTGAATCTCTGCAAGCGAACAGTGCTGATGTGCAAGAGAATCCAGGAACTCTTCTTGGCAAGCCTTTAAGGCATCCTTGACAATAGTGGCGTCGTCTA